GGTACATGGCTACTTACCTGACATGTTTAAACTCGCTTTGTGAGCGTCGACCTCAGCGCTGTCAAAAGAAGCAATAGGCACATACATCATTTTAAATTTTCTCACGGCCACATCAAACACACAAAGAGTAGATGAGTGAAATTAATGTTAAGGTGTTGTGACTTAACCCACCATTTACAAAATGATGTCAACATGTAATCAACATTAAAATGTACTCATGAGAGGCTTTACATTCTCGTTGTCATACTACATCTTCAAATGTTGGCGTGTATTTTATGCTTACTGCCATCCCTGTGGCTGTAAGGTTCACCCGATATACCTGATCCTGTGCATCAGCTTCATAAAATTTATGAAATTTCATAAACTCTGAAAACCTAGTTTCACATATTCAAGTAGTTCCAAACATACTTAAAATTTTCTTCAGTAATTGAAATGAATGTAAATTTTGTAAATTTCCATCTAAATAAAATTAAAATTCCATTCCTCCCTGGCACTAGCCATATTCCGAGAGAGCCGTTTCTAGCTTGATGGCCTGTCTCGGTCATAAAAATATCTTCTGGCAGAGTTCTGGATGATAAGCATCTCACAACTCATTTCCCACTAAATGGATACCACTCCAGGTGTTTTAATGAGTCTGTAAGTACAAAGTGCACTTCCTGGAAAAAATCGTAAGAGTCATTATGCTTTCTAGTACTGAAACGCACCCCGGCACTTTTGCTGAGGAATTCCTTTGGTCTTCCTTGCAGGGAGGGGCTAGCTTTGGGATGACTTCAGCTGCTACCATCAAAATAAGTGCTCATTCCCCTTTCTTAACATCTCTGCTTTGAGCCTCGGCCTCTTGCATCCGCTGCAGTTGTGTCTTGTGTTAGAGATATCATGAGAAACTGGGTAGATACGGCTGAGGAATAAAATGAGACTCTTAACTAGGTTTTCGTAAACTGGAGTAACAATACCATCTGCGACATCCAAGGACACTATGCACACCAGAAGCATTGCCAAGAGCTTTAGGGTCATACCTGAGTGCTGCTCGGTAAGCAGTGTCTTGTTTAGTGCTCTGTTTCACCTCTCTAGGTTCTCATTGTCATTGTAATGGTGACACAGAACTCAGACAAACTCACAAGGGATTTATTAAGGAAATTGATAGGCTGTGTTGCAACTGAGAAATGCTCGGGATACAGTTGTTTATCAGGACATGTTACAAAGTTCTTTCAGGTCTGCTAATACATGCCCACATGTGTTTACTGCTCCATTGTAATCCTCAACTCGAAGGCATTCGGCTTAAACTCCGTAGGTCAGCAAACCCAGTTCCCTGAATTAAGTGTCCCAAGGCGCGCACCACTCCGCAAGTCAGCATCCTGCACAGAATCACTCGGCTTTGCTTGTCCCATGGGCTAGGAAGTCCACCGCTGTGTCTCACGCTCTGTCTCCGGAGGTTCACTGCACAGGAATCTCAGTCCCGGGACTTGCGCCCACACCCCGTTACCTGGCTCTTGCTGGTAATAGATCCCTCCTGCTTCTCAAGCTTAATTTATATGCCGCAGCAGCAGGGCGGCATTCGAGGGGATCCTGTTCACGATTATGAGGGGATCTTCTCCGTATATCCCTCCACCTTACTAGACTCGTGTAGGAAAAGGTCGTTTAATGGGAGTTAAGAGACTGGCTAGAAGAACCACAGTAACGAATTCCCTGCCCCTGCATTCTCAAGCCTTTTTCCTGTTGTGGCACACAAAAACAGGCCGTGTACAACACCTGGTGCTTGGGGCCTTGATTCACCTCAGACCATGACTAGCACCCAGAGGGGAGCAGTGTCAGGAACACACCTGGAATCCGTGTGAAGTGCATTTATCATTATCTTCATGGCATTCCTATGAGGCAAGCAAATTTACCTATCTTTCAGATGAGTCTATTGAGGCTCAAAGAGATGACATCATTCTCCCAGGGTCACAGGATGTGGCAGAGTTAGGATGGACAGAGGAGCAAGTGATTCCACCGTGCTACTGCCACCAGTCTTGAAACTAAGATGGAGTTTTTCTAGGTGGTGAGCTTGATGTCATAAGACTGGTTGGACTAAGATTGACTTGGGCTTAACTGAAATTTACTATGAAGTACCGGTATGTAGTTCACTACTAAGACAAAATGGCTTACAAAACCCAAATGCCCTGCCCTCATGTGGACACACAGTGAGCCTACAGGCAAAGTAGAACTGCCCCAGTGGGTTTCCAAGGCTATGTAGGAGTAGGAAGCCTCACCTTTCTTTTGCAGAGCAGCCAGTGGTTTTTAAACTGCTGACCTTTTGGTTTGCAGCCCAACATATGCACAATGCTACCAGGGCTCTGAGCTAAGCAAGCCCTTATTTCGAACTTCTGATTGAAAGCATTGTAAGTGTATACCTGTTTTATTTCCTCCCTGGCTTTTAAAATAATGCAGTAAGTCACATCCTAAGCTTCTAAGTTTAAATAACTGAATTTTTAAAAACTGAAAGAAGCCAAGAGCCCCATTGAGCTTCCTGCAGTTCTGGGGGCGACTTTAATAAGAAAGGAGCTCTGGTGGCAGTAGTGCTAACCACAAGGTCAGTGGTTCTAACCCACCAGCTGCTCTGAGAGAGAGATGAGGTTATCTACCCCTGTAAATTCAGTCTCAGAAGCCAAAATGGGCAGTTCTACTCCATCCTATAGGGTCGCTATCAGTTGGAATTGAGCTGATGACAGTGAGTCAGGTTAGAGGACCGTAAGAGTGGAATTGAGACCCTCCAGACTACCTCTTTTCAAGGCAGTTTTCTGAACTAGAACCAAACCAAGAACTTCTGGCAGAACAGTAGCAGGAATGCCATCACTGCCCCAGGGGGTGATGCCACTGTGTGAACGGAATCAGCATGAATACAAGTCCCTCAGCCCCCTCTCTGCTGTCAGCCTGGGATCACATGATCAAAGGTTAAAGACACATTTCCCAGGAAGATCTGAGCTGGCCCTCTGCACCTCCTTCCCGGAGTCCTGAATATGTGACTTCCCAATCAAAACTCAAGGGACAGTAAAAAAAAATTCAATATTAAAATCCTTTGTTTTGTTGGGCTCTTGTAAATCGGTTTGGAGAAATGGCCTTTGGAAACAACCCCTTTGTTCCTTTTGTAAAGAGCAGATACAAGGAATGTGCTGTTGGAGAAGTAAGGGGCAAGTCATTGTGAGTGTCTTGCTGTCACATTCTTTACACGTAATTAAGCAGCACAGGCTGATGGGAGCTGCAGTATGTGTGTGTGTGTGTGTTTCATTCTCACCTTGAAACATCACATGAGAACTTGTAAGCAAGCACATAAACGGCTTTTTAATTTTTTCCAACACAAAATGTAGGGTCTTGAACATACTGAGTTAACATTAGCCAGGGACCCTCTTAGCTTTTGTGTTTTCTTGACAGCGAGTCTGAAAAATGATACTCTATACAAGCAATGTGTAGAAAGACAGCAAAAAGACTGAGCAGGGGTCAGGATGGAACTTCCCTGACCTTGGGACTTGGATTGGATGCTGATGATAGGCAAAGACCACTCCCTTTTCTGTCATTTTGTAATAATGTCAACCTTGTCCATTCTTCCCCACTTGAGGAATGTAGTAGCTGAGTCCTACCTCCTAGGACTGTCATTAGAAGGAAGGAAAACCATGATAAATGTTTCTTAGAGTACCTGACGGTTTAAAAAGAGAAAGGTAAATTCTCTTTAAGACCGAGGCAAGAATTAGTGTCTGTCTGAGAGAGGATATGAAAAGTCTCTCACCCGAGCTGAGCAGAAGGTTAAAGTCCCACAGCCTGAGACAAGCAGAGGGGCAGAGGCAGGCCCAACCCCTCCTCCCCCAAACCCTTCACAAAGTTCTCATAAAAGCTCTGTCTTCTACACCCCCACCCCGACTAGGGAGCCTGTTGATGGATCTGCAACTTCATTCGTCTAGCTGCATACTCAAAACAAAACCAAAAAACCCTGTCGAGTCAGTAACCCTAAACGACAGGGTAGGTAGAACTGCCCCGGAGAGTTTCCGAGGTTGTTTACCAGAGTAGAAAGCCCTCTCTTTGTCCCAAGGACTGGCTGGTGGTTTCCAACTCCCGGCCTTGAGGATCGCAGCCCAGTGCATAGCCCCTGTGCCACTGGGGCATTAAAATCAAATCTAGGCTTAGTCACACCCCCATCTCAGAAAGAGTGGCATCTTTTGTGGCAGGAAGCTTCAACCCACCATTTTATGGTAACAACCTTTATTATTTTTTAACTCTTAATGTCTTAATATCTGCAACACTGGAGCAAATGTGAATTTGAATATGATTTTTGAAAAGTATAGCTTGGCTTTGGGGTTTTGGTTCAATGAAAAGTTAAAGTGAAATTTCCATAGGCTATTAGAATTCAGAACAAAACCGTCCTCATTTGTAGAGCCAAGCCTTCGTGAGAAACTTAAGGAGGATGAAGTGTCTTCTGGGTAGATTTTCCCAATAATTTTAGAGCTTGTAGCACATAAGCATTCTCATAATAAAAAAGCCAGGGGAAAAAAGTTTGGACTGATCCCGAATGTATTTGCATTTTTAACCTTTATAACTGCTCAGAGTATAACATTCTAAAGTTCCTTGTGTTATCTTGAAAGTTATGATATCATTCCACTTGGACTTCTGGGTAAGGTACTTAAATAAAAAGCACACAAATCAAAACCCAAGCCAAACCTACTGCCAGTGAGTTGCTCCTGACTCAAGGACAGGGTGGACCTGCCCCAGAGGGTTTCCAAGGCTGTAACCTGCAGAAGCAGACTGCCCCAACTTTCTCCCACAGCGCTGGTGTGGATACACTACACACACTCCATCACCAAGCTATGCCAGGTTCACCTCAAGATAGGTTTTGAATCCCTGTGCTTCTCCCATCCTGATGGGCAATGTGGCCTCATACCTGGACTCCTGCTAAGGCCCCCACCCACCCCACCACCTTTCTGGACACAGCTCTTTCTGCTCAACAGCATCCCTGATCACCGAGTATCTTGTAAAATGAATGTTTGCATTCTCATTATGCAAATGTAGTCATTTCTGCTTAAGATCCTTTGCCCATTGGACTTAGAATACAGTCCCCGGATCCTTCTTCCCCTGGGGCCCTTCTTCCCGATGCTCACTTCCAGTCACACCACACCTGGCAGGTGGTTCCCCAAACACACCCAGTTTCCTTGGAACTTTTAACCAAGTGGTTTCTCCTTGAAAGGTTTCTGCCCACCCCATCCACCCCTACTTTCTGACATGTCTGTTCAGCTGTCAGAATTCAGCCTACATGTCACTAGTGGTTACTAATTGGGTTGTGATCCACAGGGTCGGCAGTTCAAAACCACCAGCAGCTCTTAGGGAGAAAGACTGGGCTTCCTACTCCCAGGAAGTTAGTCTCAGAAACCTACAGGGGGTCACTGAGTCAGCATTGACTAGATATCAGCAAGTTTAATCTCCTTCAAGCTATCCTGGCACAGCCTCTGTATACTGTGGGCCCCGTTTTTAATTATTGTCATACTGGGAAAACCCTATGTATCTGGTCATACGGCATCCTCAGTGCAGGACCATTGTCTAGTTTGAATTCACTGATGCACAGCTACAAGGCCATGCTATAGGTTAGGTTAGACATGCAGTTGGAATACTAGGGGCCTAGTTTCTGGCTTCAGGCCCAGGAGATGAGAAGTTGGAAGGTAAGGATGGCATTGCAGGAAGACAGAACACAGCAGGAGTTAGAGCAAAGGGAAGCCTGTCCTAATGACTCAGGTTTTTAAACGAAAGCCAATGCTGGCACAATTATTTGCAACCGCATTAGACTGTGAACCCTTTTAAAGCTGACTTCTCATGTACTGGCCACGTCTTGGATCCAACTGGAACGGTCCGAATGTGACGGTGCCAGTGTGTTCCGTTCTATAGACACACAAAAAGTGGATCACAACGCAAAGAAGCTCCTAATGAAGGAGAGAGATGCCTTGAGATGAATAATAAATGTGTTCTTTTCACCTTAAGGTCATTTTGTAAAGAGTTCTATAAGTAGAATTCAGTTTGCTCTTCCCAACTGGACCTTCCTTGGATTCACCAACACTGAACGATTGGATTTTAGCGTGAAAATGGGCTGTGGAGGCTGAGTCATGAAGCTTTTCATCTCCGTTCAGAGATAAAAAGATGGCAGTGACTTTTCCGAGGTCAACCCAAACTAGAATCTGACCAGAGCTGGGTTCTGTACCAATATATTTGACCCTGCTTTCTATCTTTAAAGACCTTGCTTTAGGCTGCAGCGGACATCTTTAATGAGTATAAAGTCAGTTTCTCTGCTCTGATGATCACACCCTGGTTCTGTGATCTTTCTTGAAGTCAGTGTTTTACCATTTGTCATTTAGAGAGCCAGACTGTCTGGTTGGGCTTAGGGTTTCTAAGAGGTTCGACCCCTACTTCGAATTTGTACACCCCCCACCCCACCCACCCCCTGCACCCCCAGCGACTGAATTTGAAGGGGTGGAAAGCCAAGTTCTCAGCAGGGCGTCAAAGGGAACTTGGTTGGAAGCCCTGGCTGGCTGGCTGCATCACTAGTCATGGCCAGACCCAGCCGGGCCTCTGCAAACGCCAGGGCAGCTGGTTGTAATTTGCTCATGAAAGGGAAATGAGGTGGCTCTGAGGCTGATAACACATTCAGAGTGGACTTTAGAACATTTTACATTGTGTTTTTAAATATGGGTGTGTCTGGTGTTCAGCAAATTCACTTCAGGCCAAAGACGGAGGAATCACGTTCCAGGGCTTAGATGGCCCAGCTGGGAAGCTGCCCTAGTTTCCTGAGGGTGCCCTGACTCATTTCCCTCTTCTGGCACAGAGTGAGCATTTCCCCCTGCCTGCTTCTTAGCTCAAGCTGGGAAGGGTGAGTGTGTAGGTCTCAGGGGGTCGCAGAGGGTTTCAGGACAAAATGCAGAGTGAGAAGAGCAGAGGAACTATGGAGCCCCTAGCTCTCTCCCGTCCTTGGGTCTCAGGGACAGAAAGCTTCTCGTTTATTTCTTGGTTTTGTTAATGTTCCCAGTGTAACTGTTTCACCTCCCCTAACACGATGCAGCCTCTATAATGCCGGCATTTCAATACAGTGTCATGGAGACCCAGACCCTAATACCAGTTCTGCCACATGCTGTGTAACTTGTACAGATCGGAGAATCTCTGTGACCCTTGGTTTCCTTTTCGATAAAAGGAGACTATTGTGAGCATCGAGATTAAGTTTACGCTCGTGGTAGATGCCAAATAAATGGGAATTGATGCCTTGCTCAGTTTCAACTAGTTAAATTATTTTGGATGTTCAGTGCTGTGGCTTTATCGGAATGAAGGTGAGGAAGTTGATCCCCAAGGTCCCGCAAGACTTTTTAAGTTCTGATAGTTGTTTGGGGGTGGGGGAGGGGGCGGGAGTCTCACTTTAGGCATTCTTAAATATCGGGGAATTAGCACCTCCCCTAAACAAACTTTCATTTCCCCCAAGACGCCCTTGTCCCACACTTGCTCGCGTCTAGAGGCAGATCTGCAGCCGAGTGGGCAGTCTGAGCTTGGGTCGGTAGAATGGCATCCCGGCCGTGGGAGAACTGAGGCGGGCACAGACCTTCCGGCGCCACCCTTGGACCCGCCAGCTCCTCCGGAGGGCTAGTGGCTTCGCAGGGTCCCGCCTGCTGGAGAGGGCCTAGTCCCGTTGGAGCTGAGAAAGAGTCCGGGGGCACTGCCCCGCCCCTGTCCCGCCTTGCAGCTCCTGGGAGCCACGGGGCGGGACCCGGGTCCCCGCCCCCAGGCACAGCGGAGTGCCTGCAGCACCACGCCCTCGGGCGCCACCCTGCAGGCGTAGGCGGGCTCGGGGCTGTCCCCAGCCGGGCTCACCGGTCTAGCGACGCCCCGGAGGAGCTCTTACAGCTCCGGCCGGCCGTGCGCTCCGCGCCTCCGAGCCCCCACCCGCCGGACTCCGGGCCGGGCGCGCCCTCGGCGCCGCCTCCACCTCCCCTTTCCCCACCCCTGCCCCCGGCCCCCGCCGGCCGCCCGGACTTGGCAGGAAGCGACCCCTCCCGGCTCCCGCGACGCCCGGTAAGTCGGCCAGCTGCGCCAGCTGTGTGCCCCCTGCCCTCCGGGGCAGGGGCTGGGGGCAGGGCCACTTCCGGGGGAGCGCGGTCCCCGCCGGGGCGGGGCGGCCCGCCCCTCCACCCTGGCTGGTCCCCACGCAGCCCGGCTCCAGACTTGACTGCCCGGAGCGTGGGTCCCGCCCCGCCTCCAGCGGTCCAGCTCCCTCTCCATCCTGCGGGACCGCTGAGCACGGAGCCTCCTCCCGCGCCTCGCACATTCTTTGTCGTGGCGGTAGCCAGGCTGGGTCGCCCCATGCGAGCTCTTGACAGAGGTCCTCCTCCTTCCACGATTCCAGCCCCCCCCCAAGGGAGATCTTCGCTCTTTCGGAGATCCGGTCCGCCCTGGTCCAGGTGACACCCAGCGGGTGACTTTCGAGCCCTTCCCGTTAGGACCCGAGGGTCTGGGAGTTGGGGGTGAGGACGGCGTCCTCCCAGAGCTGACCCAGTCGCTCACCGTCCCCCACCACCCCGACCACTCATCTGTGCCTTCTGATCCCTCCGGGCCCAGCATGAGAACCTCTCCGACCCTCTCCAGTTGTTCGGAGGATTGGCGTCTGCAGCGTGGGGTTGGGGGGGACAAAGGCGGTCTTGTCTTGCACAGATTCCTGGGAGAGCGTGCCAGAGCTCCCTTGGGGATGGGGATGGGGACGGGGCGGGGCGTCGACTGGAGTGGGAGGAGGCTGGGTGGGGAACCAGCTCCTGCGCCCCCGCCCGCTCTCAGGAGCAGCAGAGGCAAGCGGCCAGGGGAAGTGCTTTTGACCACAGTGAGTCAGAAATAGACCCAGGCTTCTGTCACCCAGTCAGTCGCAACATCCTCCCGCCGAGGTAGTTTTAGAGGTGGGAAGTGGAGCTATGCAGTAGTTAGAGACCGCCACCCCCACCCCCACCCCCGCCCCCGCCCTCAGCTGGCCAGCACGAGTGCTGAGGAGGAGAGCTGCCCAGCACGGGACACCCTTGTGCGTGCGATGAGCAGCACGGGGAGAGGAGGACCTGGGGTGAGGCGGGACAGTGTGTGTCTAGCAGCTGGGGGTGGGGAGCCGGCTCTGAGATCTCTATGGGCCCTGGGGAAACCTTCCACCCGGGCATGGCACTGTGGCCATCCCACGTTTGAGAAATGCCTGCATGGCCAGTTTCCATGGCCTCCAGAAGGCAAGCTATGAACTCCTGCCCCCTGGGCCCCAGGGTGAGCAATGCATTAGACTGAGAACTGGAGGCTCCTTGGGCGTCCCAGTGCCCTCAATGCCCAGGACTGCTGATTTTTCATTTCCAAATTTGGCAAATTTCATTCTGAGTGCTGTGACCGCAGCTATCTTTGAAGATTCTTGGGTGGTGGTGGGGGGAGGTAAGGAGGAACAGAGTCAATCAGATAGGGAACCCAAACACACACCCCCTTTCTCCAACCTCCCTTTCTCTCCTCTCCAACAGCCACACTGTCTGTGACAGCTGCTGCCCTCCCTGGGAGTTCCAGGACAATGGCCACCCCCCCCAACCCAGCACATGCCTACTTTGAGAGCTTCCTGCAGGCCCAGCTGTGCCAGGATGTGCTGAGCAGCTTTCAGGGGCTATGTGAGACCCTGGGGGTGGAGGCCGGCGGGGGGCTGGCCCAGTACCACAAGATCAAGGCCCAGCTGAACTACTGGAGTGCCAAGTCCCTGTGGGCCAAGCTGGACAAGCGAGCAGGCCAGTCTGTGTACCAGCAGGGCCGGGCCTGTGCCCACACCAAGGTGGGTCCCCAGGAGGGGGAGCAGAAGTGGGGGGCATCAAGGAGGGGGACAGCATTTGAGGCCTCCTTGCCCTGTGTTCACAGTGCCTAGTGGTGGGCGCTGGACCTTGTGGGCTTCGGACTGCTGTGGAGCTGGCACTGCTGGGGGCCCGAGTGGTCCTGGTAGAAAAACGCACCAAGTTTTCCCGGCACAATGTGCTCCACCTCTGGCCCTTCACCATCCATGACCTGCGGGCACTCGGCGCTAAGAAGTTCTATGGGCGCTTCTGCACGGGCACCTTAGACCACATCAGTGAGCACCACATGGTGGCCTGAAGTGGGTGGGAGAGGTTGTGGGGGCAGGAGGCTACTGGGTCAGTCAAGAGGCAATGTGGGCAAGAGGGACTTCAACCAAGTGACCCTCAGAGCTCACACTGAGGCCCTTGGAGGCTGCCCCTGTTTCTGATGTCCGCCTCCCTTCCAGGCATCCGGCAGCTGCAGCTGCTACTGCTGAAGTTGGCCTTACTTCTGGGAGTGGAAATTCACTGGGGTGTCACATTCAGCCACCTCCAGCCCCCTCCCCAAAAGGGTAAGTATTCCTCTGTTCCCAGAAACCATACCCACCAGGGAGATCTTGTCTGTGGAAGAAACAGGCCAGGGTTGGGAGTCAGCTGAGTCTACCTTTCTAATAGGGTGACTTTGGGGGATCCACTCAGCCTCACTTTGAGCATCTGTAAAATGGGGGTGACGTTTTCTTTCTAACCTCCTTTCTGTGGCTGTTGTGAAGGTGGAACTCGATAGACAACGTGTGACTGCTTTCTATACTCTCAAGACCTTTACATATTTATTTTAATGATCTTACTGGCTTTCCCTGGGAGTGTTGAGGTGGGGGGAGGGGTTACAGGCTTTCACCCTTCTGCCTCTCACACCTTCTGCCCTAGGGAGTGGCTGGCGTGCCCATTTCCAGCCCAATCCCCCGGCCCAACTGGCCAACTATGAATTCGATGTCCTCATCTCAGCTGCTGGAGGTAAATTCATCCCTGAAGGTGAGTGACTCCCGTGGGTGTTCGAGGCTGTTCCACCCTTCATCCGTGATGCAAATGGTTTGAAACTTGGCACAGTGTCAGCAACAAGGGGCTGTGACATAACAGTTGTTAGGAGGGGGCAGTGTTTCATTCCGTTGTTCAGAGGGTCGCTATGGGCTTGAACCGACTAGAAGGTATCTACGACAACTAACTTTTAAAGACTTAGGGCTCAAACTCACCCAGTGGCCCAGCCATCTGCTTTGGTAAAGATTACAGCTGAGAAAACCACGTGGAGCAGCTCTACTCTGTAACACGGGGTTACCACGAGGCAGAGAGCCATGAGGCAGAACTGACTCACCAGCAGCAGGGTTGGGTTTTGGCTTTTTTACCTCTTGTCCTTCAGCCACTACCCACCCTGGACAACAACCCCCTCTCACCCCCCACCCCACCCCCAGGCTTCACAGTTTGGGAAATGCGAGGCAAGCTGGCCATTGGTATCACAGCCAACTTTGTGAACGGGCGCACGGTGGAGGAGACGCAGGTGCAGGAGATCAGTGGCGTGGCTAAGATCTACAACCAGAAGTTCTTCCAGAGCCTGCTCAAGGCCACAGGTGGGGGACCCTTCCTTGGCCTGCTTGTGGTCTGGCTCCCTCCACTTGCTCCCTGTGGTGGCCTCTGTCCAAAAATCTCACGCCCTCCCACCTCTGTGGCTTGGCAATAAGTGGGAGAGAGCCTGTGCCCCGGGATATTCGGCAGGCCAACCTGCATGACCCGGCCTGGAACTCTCTCTCGGAGTGCACGTGCCCGGAAGCAAGACTCAGCTTGATTCTTCCCACTCCATCGTGTTCCTTTCCTCTGGATTCCTTTATAGGAAGGGCTTTAATAGAAAACCACAGAGATCCACAGCCCAAGTGACCCTTCAAGAGGATGCCCTGTGTTTACCATGGCTACACACCACCCTGCCTCCCTCGGGGTACACACCCCACTTTGTGAGCCCAGGCTGGCATGCACAGCATGGGACTGTGAGGTGCAGGTCTCCCAGCTGCTGCCCTCGCCCTCGCCCTGAGACAGATGGCCCCTGTGTGCCTGGGAGCCTGCTCACTGCCATCTGCACTCAGGTTCCTGCTGTCAGGTCAGGTCACCCTGGGGTTTTTTGGAGAGTTGAGACACACACACGTCCTTCTCCATTCTCGTCCCCAGGCATTGATCTGGAGAATATTGTGTACTACAAGGATGACACCCACTACTTCGTGATGACAGCTAAGAAGCAGTGCCTGCTGCGACTGGGGGTGCTGCGCCAGGTGGGACCCAGGCCCGGGCAGGGAGGGGCGGGGTGGTGGGGTCCTGGGAGGAAACAGCCAAGATGGGATAAGGAGGGGCCTCATCCTCTCCTGCCCATGCCCCACAGACCCCTCGGGTTTCCATGGTGACTGGTGCCATATTCAGAGCTAACTGCCTTCTACGGTCACTATGCAGGCAGGCCGAGATCACTCTCTCACGGTGGGTCAAAACAGGTGTGTGTCATCATCATTAGCATCACCTTTAGTGCAAGAGAAGACTCAAATATTTTCGATGATTTGGAAGTCTGGGTGCAGCAGGGGAAGGTGGCTGTGGTCAAGGCTTCCGTTTCCAGTGGGAGTTGGCTTAGTCCTTTCTAAGTGATGGCAGATTTACAGAGCGCTACAAGGCCAAGGAGAAGTTGTCCTACGTCGGGTGTTCCCACCCTTTCTGGCCCGGGACTTCGGGGACTGCCAGTGTAAGCTCCCCGAGGGCAAGGACTTTGGTTTGTCATTCTTACGGCCAATACCCAGTGCCTTGAGTGGTGTCTGGTGTGTAAGAAACAGCAAGTGACTGTGGAGAGACTTCCCTAACTGCCTGTTCTGTGCCTGCTGCCCCGTGGGGAGCCATGCAGGTCTTTCCCCATTCACTCAGGGGGACCTTGAGAGAGAGGCCCGGTTCCTTGAAATGGTGAGGTACCTGAGGCTCTGAAAAGCTCCTTGTTTTTGGTCCAAAGCAAGTGTATGTGGCAGGGCAGTGCCTGGGGCCCTCAGTAGCGGGGTGAGGCAAGACCTGGAAGATTAGGTACCCCCACTTTGCCTTCCATTGCCCTGTGGCCCCTTCTCTCCTCTGAATCTCAGTCCGTGCAGCCTGGGATGGGACTGGCTGTTGGTCCCCCACTGGATCTTATCTGTTGGCCACATAGGACTACTCGGAGACCGATCAGCTCCTGGACAGTGCCAATGTGGATCCCGAGGCTCTGCAGCGCTTTGTCCGGGCTGCTGCTGACTTCGCCACCCATGGCAAGCTGGGGAAGCTGGATTTTGCCCAGGATGCCCATGGGCGGCCAGATGTCTCTGCCTTTGACTTCACAAGCATGATGCGGGCTGAGAGCTCTGCGCGTGTGCAGGAGAAGCAGGGTGCCCGTCTGCTACTGGGACTGGTCGGGGACTGCCTGGTGGAGGTGAGGGTGCCCAGGGGGGCCCTGACTGGGGAGGAGGGTGGAGTCTCCTGCTGCTTGGAAAGACAAGGACTGCTACTAAGGGGGTACAGGATTTCCGGGTGGGAGGAGGAAGTTTCCTACTAGGAAGAATGAGGGGACGTTGCCCCAGAGCGCCATCAAGTCCCTTCTCACTCATGGCGGCCACATGTGTGTTGGAGTGGATCTGTGCTCTGTGGGAATTCCAGGCGTTAATTTCTCAGAGGGAAACCGCCAGGCCTTTCCGCCAAGCCCTGGTGGCGTAGTGGGTTACATGTTGCGCTGCTAACCAGAAGGTCGGCAGTTCAGGACCTCCGGCTTTCTATACCCATAAAGATTTACAGTCTTGGCAACCAACTCACAAGGGCAGTTCCACCCTGTCCTGTAAGTCGCTGTGAGTTGGAATCAACTCTATGGCAGTGGGTTTTCTTCCAACGATGGACTGGCAAGTCCAGCTTCTCAGTTAGCAGCCAAGCGCGGTAGTTGTTTGTGCCACCCAGGGAGGCGGGGTCTGCAGGTCTGCTTGTTGAGGAAGGAGGGACTCTTCCATGTGGAAGTGAGAAACTACCTGGTGTGGGGAGGGGAGTCCCTCCAGTCTGACCTTGGGGCCATCTAGGCTAGGGGGTCTTCTCACGGGACCCTCGCGAAGCTTCTGACTGTCCCTCTGACCCTGCAGCCCTTCTGGCCCCTGGGCACTGGAGTGGCCCGGGGCTTCCTGGCCGCCTTTGATGCAGCCTGGATGGTGAAGCGGTGGGCCGAATGTGCTGAGCCCCTGGAGGTCTTGGCTGAGCGGTGAGGCCTGAGGACACTGGGGGTGGTTAGGGAGAGGGGCTGGCAGTCTTGAGGGGTGGGGGCTGATGGCTGTCCTCCCACCCGCCCCCAGTGAGAGCCTGTATCAGCTCCTGTCACAGACCACCCCAGAGAACATGCATCGCAACATGGACCAGTACGGGCTGGACCCAGCTACCCGCTACCCCAACCTGAACCTGCGGGCTGTGACCCCCAACCAGGTCAGACTCTGTCCACCTTGGGACTTCCCTGCAGGGCTTCCCCTCTTGTGTAGACCCCTCCTCCACGGGTTGAGGTGGGGGCACGGTCAGCCTGACTCACGGCCTTAGGTGCGAGAGCTGTATGACGTGGTAGCCAAGGAGCCTGCGCAGAGGAAGAATGACAAGACCGACTCCGGAAGGCTGGGCACTGGTGAGCCGCCCCTCCTCCACAGGGCACTTCACCTATGTACCAGCACACTGGGGTGAGGGGGTGGGGGAAGGAAGGCGGCAGGACAGGCCTCTGGGCATCCCAGACCCTTTCGGCCCACAGCCTGCCGCCTTCCAGGTGGCCCCACTTTATTCCAAAAAGGGGTGGTTTAAAATGAGAAAACTGGCATGGCAGAGGCGCCACCTTAGACGGCACCTACCCCCACCTGTGGAGAACACCACCCCTCCACACTGGCTCCCAGTGCAGCGGGGCTGGGACACAGCAGCACCTTCTCTCCCTCAGGCACAGGCACCCAGGAGGCGCTGCTACGCTGGTGCCAGGCGCAGACCGCTGGGTACCCAGGGGTCTGCGTCACCGACTTGTCCTCCTCCTGGGCGAACGGACTAGCGCTGTGTGCCCTGGTGCATCGGCTGCAGCCCACCCTGAGGTGAGTCCGGGCTCAGACAGGGGTGGGCCCCTTCTCTGACACCCCCTCTCCCTTTCCTGCCCTGGATGCTCTGCTTGGGGCAGTGAGGAATGGAGCCAGGTTGTTGGTGGGAGGTGGCATGCCCATTGAGGCCCCAGCTCCACCGGTTCCTAATAAGCCTCGGGCCCACACTTCACTCCCTAGAGAGGGAATTCTTGCCCCCTTGTGAGAGTCACACCCAATCAGATAGGAGCGAGTTTTATGAATACAGGGTGTCCCCCCTCCCTCCGCAGAGCAGAGCAGCTACCAATGGGTGGGTGCTAGCAGAGGGGGAAACTCAGAACCCACCCGAGTTGCTCTTCTTTTTGGGTCCCCTTCCTCTGCTGGTCCTGTCTCTTCCCCCCCACCCCCACCCCAGTGGTGACAGACCTTGTCTCCACTGGCCGTCTTTGCCCTGTGCCCACAGGGAGCCCTCTGACCTGCAGGGGGTGGGAGCTCTGGAAGCAACCTCGTGGGCTCTGAAGATGGCAGAGCAGGAGCTGGGCATCACGCCGGTGATGTCAGCTGAGGCGATGGTGGCGGGGAGTGACCCGCTGGGCCTCATTGCCTACCTCAGCCACTTCCACAGCACCTTCAAGAACAAGGCCCCCAGCCCAGGTGACCTGGGGAGGGAGGAGAGAGAGGTTGAGGGAGCCTTCTCAGAGCCCCCCTGGGGGACAGGACGGTGGCGTCTGCACACAGGGCAATATCAGCCTCATTCCCCGCTGACAACCTACTCTATGCAGGCCCTGTCAGCCAAGGCCCTGCGGGGACCTCCAGCGCTGTCCTGTTCCTTGGCAAAATGCAGAGGACCCTGCAACGGACCCGGGCCCAGGTGGGGAGAGAGCAAGGTTGGAGCCAGCAGGCATGCCCAGTGGAGAGTGGGGAGGGGTGGGGGTGGCCCTAGGTGGTGGTGGGAGGCCATTCAGAATGGAGGAAGTGGGGCTAGGAGCTTGGAGCCCCATGCTCAGGGGCAAGGACTTCTTGCAGGCAAATGGGGAGGATTCTGGTGGCAAGAAACGTTGCCTGGAGGTAAATTCGACCAGGGGCTGCATGGCCTCTGTCCCCTGTTCTATCCTCTTGACTTGGTAGCTCATTCCCCGTGCTCCCTGCCCTCGACCTTTAACTCTCCTCCTGCCCTGCCACTCCCCTCCCGCTCCTGTTCCTGCCCATTCATCTGTATGTACACTCCTGCCCCCACCAGTCCCACCACCACCCTCCTGGCCTGAGCCATACTCCCTCTCAGGCAGAGGCTGAGACTCCAAGTACTGAACAGCCACCTGTCCCAGAGCCCAGTGTACCCCTGACGCCCCCACCCCAAAGCCCAGAGGTGAGAGTCAGCCAGCTGGTGGAGACCTGGGTTGGCTGGGGCAGGGCGTGCCAGGGGGAATGTGGCATCTGGCCCTGGGTCCATGCAGCTGACCTGGTGTCTGGGGTGCAGGCTGGGGCAGAGGCCCTGTGCGCACTCTGTGGGGAGCGGCTCTATCTCCTGGAACGTCTCGGTGCGAACGGCCGCTTCTTCCACCGGAGCTGTTTCCACTGCCACGCCTGTGAGGCCACGTTGTGGCCAGGGGGCTATGGGCAGCATCCAGGAGACGGTGAGTGGACCTGAGAGGCCTCCAGAGGGACTTGGGGGCTGATGCCATTATCTGGCCAAGGAGGTCCAGGGTGGAGGGGACCCGGGGTTCTGGGCAGGAGGCAGAAACAGGCCCTAGATGGACTTCTTTGCCTGTGACTTCAAAGTCCTTTCTGTCTCCTCCAAGGTTCCAAATGAAGGAAATCTGAGAACCTAGGGAGGCGCCCTGGTGGTGCAGTGGATCCAATTGTTGGTCTGCTAACCACAAGGTTGGCAGTTCAAATCCACAAGCCGCTCCTCAGCGGAAAGATGAGCTGCCCTGCTCCCGAAATTCAAAGAAGAATCCTAATCTCTTTTCTCAAAACCAAACCAAACTCACCGCCATTGGGTCAATGCCAGCTCATAGCAGCCCTAGAGGACAGAGAAAACTGCACCTGGGGCTTTCTGAGACTAGAGCTCTTTACAGGAGTAGACAGCTGTGTGAGTCTGGGTAGACTGGAGAAACCAATCCAGGGAGACTCATACATGTAGAAGAAAGAGCTTTATATTAAAGAGCAATTGTACATTAAGAAAACATCTCATCCCAGTCCAGATCAAGTCCATAAGTCTGATATTAGCCCATATGTCCGATACCATATAAATTCCTCTTCAGACTCACACAACATATGCAATGACGCCAACTGCAGGAAGATCACAGGCCAGTGGGTTACAAGCCTTGTGGATCCAGTGGCTGTGGAAGCATCTCAACGCTGGCTAGGGTCCCCACATGGCTTCTCCAGCTCCAGGGCTCTAGTGTAGCTCCATGTGTCTTGTCAGCAGCAATGTCTCGCAGGGAGTGAGCCTGTGTCTGGCCTCCAGTGAGCTATTTATCTCCGTTTGTGCCTCCCAAATGAGGTCGTTAATCTGCGACCTGATTGACAGGCTAGACTCCACCCCTTCACTCTTAACAGTCTCAAGTTGACAACAGATTACGTTAACTACCACAACAGCCTCCTCTTTCTCCCAAAGGTTTCGCCATGAGTCAGAATTGACCTGGTGGTGGCAGTGAGCTTTTTGGTTTAAAGGAACCAAAATGGAGGTTGGCAGAAATGCACCTGCAAATCCAAAGCCCCGCTCCCTCTTTCACCTCACACCTACCTCCGTCTCATGCCTCCCTCCTCCTCCTCCTTCCCCCTTTCATCAGGACTGTACTACTGCCTCCAGCACCTGCCCCCGACAGGCCACCAAGAGGACAGCAGAGGCCCCGAGAGCCCGGTAAGGTGGTGGATGTATGTTGGGTGGACACAGGATGTAGGGGGTGTGAATGTCTCCAGCCTTGCACTTTGTAAACTCTGTGAGGGCAGGGATTCTGGTCTGTCCGATTCATTGGTGTGTCTCCAGCATCCGGAATGTGGGTGGGCACTGCTCGGGAAGCAGGAAATGTGGAGCACTCTAAAAGGGGAGGCCGTGGCCCCTCACTGACCAGATCATATGGCTTTTCCAGGAGCTATCCACCCCAGGTGGCAGCCTGCCATCAGCCCCCTCCTTACCCACAATCCCCCAGGCGGGGGCCGGTCCTGCTGTGAGCCCCAGCCAGCCCACCCGCCGGCTGATCCGCCTCTCCAGCCCAGAGCGACAGCGGTTGTCCTCCCTCAGTCTTACCCCCGACCTGGACATGGAGCCCCCTCCCAAGCCCCCTCGAAGCTGCTCGGCCTTGGCTCGCCAGGCGCTGGAGGGGAGCTTTGTAGGCTGGGGAGTGCCAGCCCAGGGGCCTCCAGGTAACTATCTGTCTGCCTCTGCTCACAGATGTGCCGCCCCAGGTCTGGGGTGCCGTGATGGGTGGTGGTCCTGCTCAGGGAATCCTGGGGGGGATGGAAGGAGTTGGTATGGGGATCCCAAGCCATGTTTCTCTTCTCTGCTCAGGGCTCCCTAGCTCAGCCCTTGAGGACTTGGAGGAGGAGGGAGGGGAGAGCTCCCTCTCCAGTGAAGAGGAAGAGGAGGAGCAGGAAGATGCTGCTCTGGATGAGGCCACAGAGCAGGTAAGTGGGAAGAACCCTGGCCTCCACCGGACGCCTCCATCCCCGTCCACTGGAAGTCGACACCATGCTCTCCTGCATCCTGCTCTTGGATTGTCCTTTTCTCTGAGTCTGCCTCCTTCCTGTCTCTGGACCTCCGCCTTACTAGAAGGCACTCCGCGTCCAGTCCAGTCTTTTCTGCCCCTCCCAAATGAGGCTTCCCCGGGCCCCATCCCTCGGGTGGGGGTCAGTCCTACCCGCCGCTGACTGGTCTGGCCCTGCCTCAGGCCCTGCTGATGTTTGCCAAGAACTCAGGCACCCTGAGCAAGTACCCAACGTGGCGCCGCACCCTACTGCGCCGTGCCAAGGAGGAGGAGATGAAGAGGTTCTGCATCGCCCAGGTGAGACCCCGCAGTTCCTGGAAGTTGTGAGTTCCCACACTGGGGGTCCGAGCCCCCTTGGTGCAGCATGTGCAGCCCTCTGTCTTGTATCTTTCAGGCCATCCAACGGCGACAGAATGAGATCGAGGTTTCTCTGAGGCAGCTGGAGGAGGAGGGCAGGAATCTGGAGCGGTCCTTGAGGCGCCAGAGCAGTGAGTGAAAATGAGGACAAGCTCAGACACCACCCCTGTACACCCCACCTCCTAGCAGTGTGTGCCCCACCCCCCACCCCCATCCAACCACAGCAGTTGGACATGCCTCATACCCATAATGCTACTCTATCTCTGGGCTCTGTCTCTCCGGAGCCCTAGGCTGGAGACCTCCTGACGACTATGTCTTCCTTCTTATCAGGCTCCCCCGAACAGCAGAAGAGGCTGTGGCTAGAACAGCTGCTGCAGCTCGTTCAGAAGAAAGACCAGCTGGTGGAGGAAGAGGCTGAGCTCATGATCAAGTAAGAGGCGGGGTGTGCTGGCAGTGAGCTGGGCCCCAGCCAGGGCCTAGGGGTTCCCTAGAAGCTGTGCCTCATCTGTCCCCAACCCCCACAGGGCACAGGAGCTGAACTTGGAGGATAAACAGAGGCAGCTGGACCAGGAACTGCGAGGCTACATAAACCGGGAAGGTAGGTGGGATGTCAGGAGGGGCAGGCATGGCGCTGGTGTTGCGTGAGCCTCGTGGTCTCAGAGAGGGCTGGTATACCCAAACCAGTTCAGGGGGACACCGGAGGATGGTGCTCCAAGGCCCCCACCTCACCCTTCAACTGCCCCAGAGCTGCACCCTCCGGCACTCGTGTGTTTCCCTCCCCAAAGGCACTGCTTCTAAGTCAGGCTGGAAACCACGTGTGTTAACGGACCGCATTTTACTGACGGGGACACAGCCCAGGGTACAGAAGCCAACGCCAGGTTTGGGTTGTCTCTCTCAGCTTCCCCTTGTTCCTTCAGAAACCCTGAAAACGGCGGCCGAGCGGCAGGCTGAGCAGCAGATCCTGCAGAAGCTGGTGGACGTGGTGAACCAGCGAGATGATCTCATCCGCTTCCAGGAGCAGCGCAGGCTCAGCGAACTGCCCCTGGGGTCCAGCACCCAGCGCTAGGTGGGCTGTCTGCCTCCGGCCCACAGTGCACCTCCCGCTGTGTGCGCAGGGCCAGGGCCTGGTCTCACACAAGCACAAGGCGACGGCACCCTGCTATCTAGGCTGCTGGGAGAGGCCTCACTGTTTACAATAAAAATGCTCCTGCTCACATAAAAAGCTCCTGTTGCCTTGTTGGCGGCTAGAAGGGATGTAGTCGCATTGTGGGTTACATTACCCACTAGGCTGCTTGGGCAGCAGCTCAACATCACCAGCCGCTCTGCAGGAGAAAGAAGAGGCTTTCTTGGCCCGAAAAGAGTCAGTCTCAGAAACCCACAGGGGCGGCTGTGCTTTCTTTGACCAGGTCATGGCAGTGAGGATTTTTTTGAGAAGGGCAGATGATATGTAGGAGCCTCGTGGCCTATATTGGGGCAGTCACTCTGACTCCTGGCCCGTCACTGCCCCTCCAAAAACCAGGGTAGAGGCACGAAATACCATCAAGCTTTATTGTTCTACAGCTCTGTTGTCCAGCTGCTGCCTCAGGAGCTGGGCTGGTCGAGGCCTAGAGCCCATGTCCTGGGCATCCCAAGCCCTGCCCAGCACATGCTGGAGCTCAGCTTGGGTCTTCCACAAGCCTTTGGCTTCTTGCATGTGGAAGAGGTAGACGGCGCCTGCCCCCAGCACCATGCCCACACTGAGGCCCAGAAGCAGCAAGGCCACTTGTCCGCTGTCCCCACCAGCCACCAGTGCACACAGCAACACCAGGAACAGAAGTCCCCCGCCAACCACACAGCTGGCGAAGGCCAACCACCAGTGAGCTTGAGCCAGACCCAAGCCCAGCTCCATGCAGGCCTCCTTTAGCACTGTGACCAATGGCGGCATCTCTGCTGTTTCTAGAACAAGGCAGGGTGATGGGGCAAGAAAGGGGGTCAGGGTCCAGGGCCTGTATTGAGTGGGGAGGCAGAGGAGAGCTTGCCCAGGGGAAGGGGTGGGGGGTGGGGGGACTCACCACGGGCCAGGCTGGGGCTGTCCTGTGGGGGGCTGTGTCTCACACACAGGGTTGCCATGAGAGCCTCATGATCAGAGAGGGGGGTGCCACCGAGAGGGTCATGGCCTGTAGTGGTTTTGAGCGTCTTGCAGGAGACGCAGACCCCAGAAACTGCCTAGGAAGAGTGAGGGCCAGAGAGCAGCTTACACAGGAGGGCTATTTCCCCAAGAGCCAGCTCTCAGTTGTCCCTCCTCTAAGACCAGTCTGGGTACACAGGAAGCACACAGGCTGGTGAGGTGCCCGGTGGTGGAGGTGCAACGAGGGCGGAGCCTGACCTTGTACAGCACGTAGTCGATTCGGATGCCAAAGGGGAATGGCTGCAGCTCCTGCTGGTTGACGTAACAGTTATGCGGCACCATCGTGCAGCCTTCCTCACAGCCCTGCGTGCACAACGGTTTGCGTGAGAGAAAGGGAGTGGGGGGCCAGGATGACACCTAGGCGTTCCTGAGGGAGGAAGTAAATGAGCCAGGGCCTCACCTGGAAGTCTTGGGTCTCCAAGTAGGCATCCTGCAGCCCTGTCCACTCCTTCAGGAGGCGGCAGCCCAGATCTTTTGGGTGCAAGTTGAGGTCCCCACACAGCAGAATCATGTCTGCCTTCTTGGATGTGTGGCTGGAGGAAGCCAGGTGGATGAGGCTGGAAGTCCTCCAACAGCTTTGGCCTGTCAATGGTGCCCTGGCCACCCCTCAGCCCCTGGGTCCCATCCCTCTTCCCAGTCAAGCCCAGGCTCACACACTGGATGAACTGGGCCAGTTCCCAAGCTTGGGCCACACGATGTGCTAGGTAGATGTCCCTCTGTCGGTTGTACTCTGCATGGAGCTGAGCCAGATAAAGCAAGATCGTGACAGATAAGACAGTCCCAGGGGCAAAGTCTGAAGCTTCTGTCTGTTCCCTGATGTTCCAGAAGAGGGTTGCCTGCTGTGACTTTATGAGCCCCACCCACCCACCCACCCAACCTCACACCCAGGCCATACGGCCAAGGCGTGTCAGCTCTCCTCCTCGGGACCAGGTGGCCTGTCCCAGCCCCGGCACTGGGCTACACTCACATGAGTCACGTAGGCATTGACCACCAGCCCACTGAGATGAAGCACCAGCAGCCCCACAGCCTTCCCACAGAACCAGTCGCCATGATGGACCTGGGGGTCGGAGGGTACAGGGACTCAGGGCACTGCTACCCAACCTCTGCCCATCCCCTGCAGTGCTAGGAGGGCCGCCCCCTCCACTTTACAGTCCTGGCGGCTGGGAAGTGAGAAAGGAGGTGTAGGAGGTCGGTAGTCAGGCTCACCATGTAGGGGTAGCCATTGAGGGTGTAGACATGCTGAGCGAGTTCCTGGATTGGGTGTTTGGAGAAGACGCAAAGGCCACTGCCAATTATTCCACTGAAAGTCAAAAAAGAAAAACAAAAACCAAGTTCGCAGCCATTGAGTTGACTGCCATGACTCAGTGAGCCTAGAGGGCTGGGTAGAACTGCCCCTATGAGTTTCTAAGAAGAGCCCTTTCTGGGAGTAGAAAGCCTCGATTTTCTCCTGAGGAGCGGCTGGTGGTTTCAAACTGCTGACCCCAGTCAAGCCCTGCTTAATTGCCAGGAAAGACAGGAAGAGAAATGCTGGGCCCCACCTTCCTTCCTCCCTCTCTTCTCTGTCGTGGGACCAGCCCTGGAACAAGGGACAAACCTCCTGTGTTGGAGATTGGGATGGCCTAATAAGGCTGAAGTTCTTCCTGCTCCACCCAGGAGGGGTGGAGGAGGTGGAGGCACCTGAGGGAATGGTTGCTTCACCCAAGCGCCTCCTGGTCTGACAACAGGCTTCCAGGTGGGCAGCCTTCTTACCTCCTGAAGTAGTGTGCAGCTGGGTAGGTGGGCAACAGCTTCTGTCGCAGGGTCTCGAAGTCCTCCTCACTCCACACCTGAGGGAAAGGGTTAGGGTGCCAGGAGGGCCCCCTCCTGCATCCCTCAGTGCCCCTCCTGCTCCCTTGCCCCAGTCCCATTACCAGAGCCCGCCACTTTACCTCCTCCAGCAGAGCCAGATCAAAGCTCTCGACGTTCAGAAAGTCTCCCAAGCGCTTCAGACGGTCTACCCGGTCCTTGCTACAGTAGGGAATGTTCCTGAAGGGCAGAAGGGCCAGGGGAGCTGCCCATTGGGGGAGGTGACCACTGGGGGTGCTCTGCCCTCCCTCTGGCAGCAGGCCCCTCCAGCGCTGAGCCTCGGCCGTGCTGGCTCCCCAATGTGCCGCAAGACCTTAGATCAGTGTAGGATCCTGGCCAGGAGGCGAGGCAGGCCCCCTTGCTCCGACTGCCGGACGCCCTAGACACCACGGGTTGGCCACACTCACCAGCAGTTGAGGTTAAAAACCCTCAGTCTCAGGGAGAAGTTGGGCTTCATGGCGGGGCCGCTCTGGGGACTGCAGGGGTGGCTCGCGGTTCCCAAGGCTGCCTGGCCGAGACGGGCAGGGAGGGCGCCAACAGGGGCGCCGCCTGGATGTCACGCCCCGACCCCGGGCGGCTCAGCGCCGGGGCTCCAACGCGGCCTCCTTTCCCTCGAGTCTGGCCTGGGGGGCGCGCGTCCCGGGAAGGGCGCCCGCGTCTCCCGGGCAACTGGCCCTCTCGGCCACTAACTGGCCGCGCGCCGCCAGCCAAACCGGAAAGAAGATCTGCTGCGAAAGCCCGGCGCTCGCGGGGCCCGGGGGAATCCCGAGCCTGCGAACGCCCGCAGGGTGCTGGGCTCCCCGACGCTGCGAG